CGTACATTGAAAAACTTATCCCAGAGCATCTCGAAAGGCAATGAATCACGAATCAAGAACAAGAAAGCGATTTTCGAATTCTTGGAACGAGGAACAGGAGAAGAATTCAGAATTTCCCTAATCACAACGCGAGAAGAAACCTCATCGTCTGTAAGTTGTTTCCCAAGAAGAGGATAAGAAAATGATTTGCAGCCAAATATATAACAGGCTTTAGGATAGAAAGAGAAAGAACTAAATATAAAAAGGCAGACCAACAAAACCATCACTAAAATCCAACTTGGCTTCTTCAATGGCGGCAGGCTGCGACTGCGAGGCTGAGGCCCCATTGAAATATGCATATTGCCCTCAACCACCACTTCTTTTTTTGTATTTATTAGCTTCATATTTAGTATTTATTTATGCAGATCCATTTGAAATTGGAAGGAACAGCGAAGCTTATTATTGGCCCATATACTGCAATTAATGCTTAATTTAAACCTAACAAATTCCTCCAGATTGTATATTAAGTAAGAAAAATATAATTAGATTACATTCTTGAAACTTAAAATTCTAAATATAATTACGAGAAAATACAAGTTGTGAAATCGATGGTTATATATCCATTTCATTGTTTGATTGACACCAAATCAATAAATGAAATGGATATACTATAATCATCGATTTCACAACTAGGGAAGTTGATGATGAAGAAAATTGAAAATCATATGAATTTAAGCAAACAGATTAATGGTGTTGATCCTCAATTTTGTATAAAACACAAATAGGTTCACGGCTAAATCCCTTTCATATGTTGATTGACACCAAATCAACCGGCACTTTAATTTCCAAAAATTACTTATTACCACAATAAACATAAATAAATAAATATATGTATTAAAAAAAAACCAAATCAACCGGCACTTTAATTTCCAAAAATTGCTTATTACCACAATAAACATAAATAAATAAATATATGTATTAAAAAAAAACCTTTTTTTTTTTTTTATTGTTATTTGTCATAAAAAAATGAGTGATTATCAGAAACCTCCCTTGAGGTTTCAGGTTTTCCTAAAAAGCTCCTTGTGGTATAAAAAATCCCCAAATACCTCCCCTAAGACCATCTTCAACTACGAACACCAAATTGGTGCAAGTTTCACATCAAATTGGTGTGAAACACTATTGCATCTCCCATCTATTGCACCAAACATTACACCAAAAAGAATATTCCTTAGAATATTCTTTTTTTTTTCTTTCTATTAATAATCAACAATTAATCTATTTCACTAATTATATATATATATATAAATTAAATATTGGGAATGATATTTTTATTAAATCATAATTACTTTGAAAATTATACTAATTTAATAAACTTAAGCATTTATTTAATCAAATAAACATTACATTTAATATAGAAAAATATTGCATCTAATAAAAAATGCCACCAAAAAATATATATATATTTTATAGTATTCCGATAGATTATAAAAAATATATTTTATAATCTACCGGAATACTAAATTGTTATTCTAGTTTATGTTGTATTTTCTTTTAATTTTAATGTTTTTAAATTAGTGTTAATTTTTATTTTAAGTTATTGTAGTTTAATATTTGCATTGAATAAAGTTTTTTTTTTTTTTCATCATTTTTTGAATTATATAATTATTATGAATTTATTATTATAAATATTAATATAAATAATAATCAAATTAATATAAATACAAATAACAAAAAAAAAAAAAATTATAGTATTTGAACAGTGTCACGCTAAATTGGTGTGCATGAACAGTGCTACACCAAATTTGGCGTGACACCAAATTAGTGTAATGCTTTGTGCTGGGTTGGAGGTCATCTTTCACGCCATTTTGGTGTTTTTTACACCAAAATGGCATTGGGTTGGAGTGTCCTAAGGTATCAATTAATCTTAACTAACTCTCTTCTAGGTCGTTTTCTAATGGGAAGAAGTTTAACTTGAAGGGCTAAAATGTAATTTGTGACATTAAATAATTAAAAAATAATAAAAATGAAGTAGAAATGGGACAACTACATTAAATGAGATAAGACACATGTATTCATAAAAAAAAAAAAAATTAAAAAAAAACCTATTCTCGCTTCTAATCATAAACCTCATTATGTCAAAGAGAGAATAGTTGTTGAGGGAACAAGGATCTCGCGCAACTCACCCTTACAGTCTTATCATGATAAGAGATGGAAAGTACGTTGTACTAAACCCTAAGATCGAACTTAGGAAAATGTTATATGCTTTTAATGATATGAGTTGTTAGAATAACTTTTCATCTCAATGCAAGTACTATATTTTCAACCACAGAAATTGCATGTCAACCCATAAGACACCTAATAATGAAGCAAGTAACAATGAAAAGAAAATCACATTCATCATGTGAAGACTTGTAAATCTTTTTTATTATTATTTTGTAACCATGGTGTCTTGGCTAATTTATGTACATCTTAACTAATCTTTGGGATCAATTGAACATCCTATAAACCCAAAGAACCAGGTAAGTTACAATGTGGTAGGTGGTCTCAAGGTTTGAACCTAGAAACTCAATAAAGGAAGTCAACCTCCTGATCGTGCCAGACCAACCTCTTGGGGTTCACTAAATCCTTTTTCAGTGAATGAAAACACATGTTTGTGACTCAGATGATTTGTTGTTTAATGAATGTATGAATGGAACTTTTGACATATCTATCGTTGTTGTGGATGATTCTGATTGTGATGTTGATCCATTTCTGGAGGAAAATAGAAAATCAGGACATGGACATGATTTTGATTGTTTCTCGGAGGGTTATTTCATCACTACATAAGCACAAACAGCCACTCTATGCTCATATTTTTTCTCTCGTTTGTTTGTTTTTTATATAATGTATTTGGACATGTTATGCTTCATTCTGCTTAGTTTCTGGCTATTGTGCTCGTTATAGCTCTTATTTTGATGAATTATGGCTTGTGTATGAATGTTCAAGGGTTTCCTTTGCTTATCTACTCTTATGGACTTTCTATTGGGTATATCCTTTCCTCTTCATCCTTTTTTCATTTTGATGCTTACATTGCTGATCTCTTTTTGATAATGACAATGGGGGAGAAATTTAGAAGATTGAATGTTTGATATGACTGAGATACATATGATTTGATTATTGACATAGCAGTGAGCTATGATTTAAGCTATGTATATATGTGATATGTGTGGATGTGCCATGGATTGCGTTGGCATTTGATTATTTATGGTACATACATTCAAGGGGAGGAAACTTGGTTTTTTAAAAGCAAACCCTTTCAATTTCTTCTTAAAAATCAAGTCCTTCTCTATGTCAAGGAAACATATTCATTTGCATATTTTATAAATACCCTTGAAGTGCATATGTGTTTGTCATCATAAAAAATTGGGAGATTGTTGACTCAATGAGTCACCATACTTTTATTGTCATGATAACAAACTAATATGTCCTTAAGAATTATTACTAATGACTTGTGTTTAAGTGTGGATTTAGATGACAAGGAACTTCTCAAACCATTAAAAGAAATATTAGAGAGGGAAAAAAACAAAGCTTGGATGAAGAATTTGGAAAAAATCAATAAAGCTAAGTTTAGGTAGTTTGCCTTGTAATTATCTTTAATTGTATTAAGCATGATTCTTGGTTAGAAAATTTATGTGCATGTGAATGCTCTCAAAAACTTGTTTTTGGGTTTTTTAGATTTGGGCCAAAATGTCACTTTCCAAACTTAGGGGGTTAAACAATTTGCCAACTTTTCATATTTTGCAATACAACCCAATCATGTAAACCAGATTATGCATCCAATTTTTGGGTTTCATTAAGGAATTAAAATGTTATAGTTAAAATTTGGGGGGTAAAATGACATTTGCCTAGGTTTGAAAACATACTCATTTACCCTCATTAGGTTGACTGATTGTGGACCAGATTGTCCTTCGGATTTGAATTGGAGTAGACCCCCTTCTTGAAGTATGCCACTACAATCCTTCGTAAGCATTATCATCTCGTTCTCTTCCAATTTCCTTTTGTTTGATAGAATATCCTACAGGAATTTTGTGTAGCTCGACATTTGTTGTAATGCATCTACAAAAGGAATGTTAATTTGCAAATCTTTAAACACATCTAAGAATTTAGAAAATTTCTTATCCTAATTTTGTTTCCCCAATCTCTGAGGAAATGGAATTGGTTGGTGGTATGGTGAAGGAGTTGGTGGAGTTTATGGATATTTCTGTGTTTTGTGCCTTCTTGTCTTTTCTCTTTTCGGTTCATCCTAACGTGGTGTAATGGCTGCCTTCTCCTCCTGTGACTGCTCTAACACTGTATCTCTCCTCAATGTTATAGCATTGACTTGTTCTCTAGAATTAGTCACCGTTTTATTTTGTAATGAACCTTGTGATCTCTCCGAAAGTTGCTAAGCTAATTGCTCCATTTGAGTCTCCAAATTCTGAATGGATGCTTCTTGATTCCTAAAGTTGGTCCTTGTCTCATTTATGAAATTTGCCATCTCTTGCATGAACTTTCCAAACATATCTTCTGGTTTAACTATTCTCTCTTGTGGTTGGTATGTAATCTGTGGCTTTGGTGCTCCTTGATCACTCCAAGAGAAATTAGGATGGTTTTTGTACCCTGGATTGTATGTGTTGAAATATAGGTTGTGTTGAGGTCTTTGTGAGCTAACCATATAAGTCACTTGCTCGCTTGTTAAAGATTTGAACGGGTTTCCAACTTGGCAATAAAGCTAACATTCATGTCTCCTAATTTTTTTTGCAGTGATGCTATTTGGGAATATAATGCAGTGAATGCATCGACTTCGTGTAGACCCATATTCCTTTTTGGCATTGCTCAATCACTTGGTCTTTAATATTTATTACTTGTCATCACCTCAAGTAATTCATAAGCATCTTTTGGTATCTTGTTGTTTAATGCTCCTCCTCCTACTGCATCGATCATGGTTTGCGTATTGGGAAATAAACCATTGTAGAAAGTCTGAACTTGCATCTAAATTGGGTAACCCATGATTTGGACATTTTCTAAGCAACTCTTTATACCTCTCCCATGCTTCATACAATGATTTGTTGTTGTTTTAGCAAAAAAAAGGTGATGTTGTTCCTCATCTTTGTAGAGTTTGCTAGTGGAAAATCCTTTGCAAGGAATTTCTAATCCAATCCATCCCATTTGGTGATTGTCCCTGTCGGTAGTGACATAAGCCAGCCTTTTGCCTTATCTCTTAATGAGAATGGAAAAAGTCTCAATCAATTGAACTACGTCATCAGTCACTCCATTGTGCTTAAACATATCACAAATCTCCAAAAAGTTTGCTACATGTAAAATCAAATCCTCAAATGAATTTCCCCCAAACTAAATCAATTGCTAGATCATCTGAATAATTGTTGGCTTAATTTCAAAGTTATTTGTTGTAACCGATGGTCTAGTATGTAAGGGAAAGTAACACAAGCTAAAAAGAGAGAGAATTGAGTAGAAGAAGAAAGTGATAAACTGAATCTTGTTTCATTAATTGAAAAACAGAGTAACTACATTGCTTATAAAGCTCAATGTTAAGCTGCATCATTAACTAATTTAATCATAATTAGTTAGTAACAAAACGGCAGCGTATTGGTTTAAGCACAGCACTAACTCTAACTCTAACTCTATCTCTAACTCTAAAGTAGCTACACTTTGATTGCTTTGACTTTTGTGGACAACATTCCCCCTCAAACCAGGCTGCATATGATTTGATCAGCTTTCTTCTTCAGTTGAATTAGCATCGATCTTTTTCTTGAAATTCTGAAAAATTTGAGAGAGCTAGGAACCAACTACAGCCAAATACTGCTTCAAATCAGTATTAAACCAGCTTTTGAACAGCTTCAAATTAGTATTAAACCAGCTTCTAAAATTACTAACAGCTTAAAATCAGTATTAAACCAGCTTCTGAAATTACTTTCTAAATTTCAGCAACAAATTAATGTTGGTAACTTCAACAACAAACCAATATTAGTTTCTATGCTACATCAACTCATGGAAAGAGAATCAAACATGATCAGAAAAATAGACTAATTGCAACACCAATTTCAAAACTTACGACTCAGAACAATCTTTAGCACACAATCACAGATTGTGATCAACAACTTCAGTACAACCTTACCATAAATGAGAAGATCAGTACATTTTCATAGAGTGTACCAAGTTCAGAACAAATCACAAGCAAGAATGAAGCATTAAGTAGCAATTAGTTACCATATTCATCAAGTTGAGTAACATTCAACTTTGCTCTTAGTTTAGTAAACTGAGCAATTGACAATGCTTTAGTAAGAACATCAGTTATCTGCAATTTAGAGGGAACATGTTGAATGGCTACCTTCTTTGCTAAAACTTGCTCTCTAATATAGTGAGCATCAATTTCAATATGTTTGGTCTTGGCATGAAACACAAGATTGGATGCAAGAACCCCAGCATTAACATTATCACACCAAATGATTGGAACAGTGTGAAAAATCAGTCCTAATTCAGTGAACATACTCTCCAACCAAGCTACCTTTGTTGCAATATGAACTAAGGCTTTGTATTCAACTTAGATAAAGGAAAGAGCAACTACCTTTTGTCTCCTAGAACTCCATTGGATCAAATTTGGTCCTAAGTAAACAAAATAACCACTAGTGGACCTTTTATCTTCAAAATTTCCACCCCAATAGCATCAACATAACACTTTATATGTAATGCATTTGCTGGTTTAAAAAGTAGACCATAATGCATGGTTCCTTTTATGTACCTTAGCATCCTTTTGCATGTTTGCCAAAATAGTTTAGTAGGAGCTTGTAGGAATTGACTCAATTTGTTCATAATAAAATTGATGTCTAGTCTGGTAAGGGTTAAATATTGAAGTGCTCCTATAGTAGGCCAGGATTCTGGAGCAGTTCACTATCAGTGGAGCTTAACTTGACTCCAACAGTCATGAAAGTAGGACAAGAATATGCTTCCATCTTTTTAGTTTTGATAAGAAGATCTTAAGCATATTTGGACTGCTTTAAGTGAAGACTAGCCATAGTTCTTGTTGCTTCTAGTCCAAGAAAGTACTTAAGTGATCCAAGAGTCTTTAATGCAAAATCATCATTGAGATCTCTCATTAGTTTAGTGATGAAATCTCCATTTGAACTAGTAATTAGTATGTCATCGACATACAGAAGTACATAAGTGGAGCCTAAAGCTTGTAGAAGAGAGAACAAACTTGAGTCTGATATTGAGTTTTGGAACCCTTTGAGCTGAAGAAAAACTTTCAATTTGTCAAACCAAGCTCTTGGAGCTTGCTTAAGGCCATAAAGTGCCTTGTTTAGCTTGCAAACAGCACTTGGAAAGGACTTATTTTCAAAACCAGGGGGCTGTTTCATGTAAACATTTTCAGCCGACATTCCATTTAAGAATGCATTGTTAACATCAAATTGTTGCGCATCCCACCCTTTTTGTTACTGCAAGTGTCAGAATTTCTTATGGTGGAGGGTTTGATTACTAGACTAAAAGTCTCACAGTAATCAAGACCAGGGGTTTGTTGGAAACCCTTGGCAACTAACCTTTTCTTATACTTCTAAAGAGATCCATCAACATTAAACTTAGTTCGAAATACCCACTTATTCCCAACAATATTCATATCTGGAGATGAGTGAACAAGGGTCCAAGTATTATTTTTAACAAGGGCATCAAACTCACACTTCATGGCAGCTTTCCATTTGCTACTACTGAGTGCTTTAAACACTGAAGTTGGTTCTAGTTCAATAATTTTAAACCCATCAATTAAGTAGGCTAGATGCACATCATCTTGAGCATGAGTGGTAAACTATACTGAGTAGAGGACTTAGCTCTTGTGACCATAGAATGAGCATTTACTAGTGTTGTAACAATGTAAGAAGCATCAGTAGCATGTGTTTTGTCAAGATTTGAACCATCTGAACTATCAAGGAACTATGAAAAAGTAAGATCAACAACAAGTTGACAAGGTGGAATAGAGGAATCTGTGGTGGTTGTAACTATGGCAGGTAGTTTAGAAACAGTAGGTGTTTGAGAAGTGTCTGGCAAAAAACTAGGTGAAAGGTTTATATTTGGAGAAATGTTTCCAGAATAAGGTTTAGGTGTAGTGTTTGAAGTAGGAGAAGCCTTTTGAAAACTAGTATCATAAGAGAAAACATTATGAGAAGAAACAAGATTATGAGAATCCTTACCATCAGTTGCATTATCCGAAAAGGAATTGNCTTAAGCATATTTGGACTGCTTTAAGTGAAGACTAGCCATAGTTCTTGTTGCTTCCAGTCCAAGAAAGTACTTAAGTGATCCAAGAGTCTTTAATGCAAAATCATCATTAAGATCTCTCATTAGTTTAGTGATGAAATTCCCATCTAAACTAGTAATCAGTATGTCATCGACATACACAAGTACATAAGTGGAGCCTAAAGCTTGTAGAAAAGAGAACAAACTTGAGTTTGATATTGAGTTTTGGAACCCTATGAGCTGAAGAGAAGCTTTCAATTTGTCAAACCAAGCTCTTGGAGCTTGCTTAAGCCCATAAAGTGCCTTGTTTAGTTTGCAAACAGCACTTGGAAAGGACTTATTTTCAAAACCAGGGGGCTGTTTCATGTAAACATTTTCAGCCGACATTCCATTTAAGAATGCATTGTTAACATCAAATTGTTGCGCATCCCACCCTTTTTGTTACTGCAAGTGTCAGAATTTCTTATGGTGGAGGGTTTGATTACTAGACTAAAAGTCTCAAAGTAATCAAGACCAGGGGTTTGTTGGAAACCCTTGGCAACTAACCTTTTCTTATACTTCTAAAGAGATCCATCAACATTAAACTTAGTTCGAAATACCCACTTATTCCCAACAATATTCATATCTGGAGATGAGTGAACAAGGGTCCAAGTATTATTTTTAACAAGGGCATCAAACTCACACTTCATGGCAGCTTTCCATTTGCTACTTCTGAGTGCTTTAAACACTTAAGTTGGTTCTAGTTCAATAATTTTAAACCCATCAATTAAGTAGGCTAGATGCACATCATCTTGAGCATGAGTGGTAAACTATACTGAGTAGAGGACTTAGCTCTTGTGACCATAGAATGAGCATTTACTAGTGTTGTAACAATGTGAAAAGCATCAGTAGCATGTGTTCTGTCAAGATTTGAACCATCTGAACTATCAAGGAACTATGAAGAAGTAAGATCAACAACAAGTTGACAAGGTGGAATAAAGGAATTTGTGGTGGTTGTAACTATGGCAGGTAGTTTAGAAACAGTAGGTGTTTCAGAAGTGTCTAGCAAAAAACTAGGTGAAAGGTTTATATTTGGAGAAGTGTTTCCGGAAGAAGGTTTAGGTGTAGTGTTTGAAGTAGGAGAAGCCTTTTGAAAACTAGTATCATCAGAGAAAACATTATGAGAAGAAACTAGATTATGAGAATCCTTACCATCAGTTGCATTATCCGAAAAGGAATTGTCCATGGAGCAAGATACTGCAGAGGGATTAATGGCAACTGAAGGATTAGTGGTAGCTGAAGGCAAGAGAGTATTGTGGACAAATACAAAAGGAAGAGATAAAGAAGATGTAGTGTAGGAAGTGTCTAGAGTAAAAGGCTAAGGTTGAGAGGAAGAGATTGAATTGCTAGTGGCAAAGGGAAACTCGCACTCATTGAACTGAACATTGGGAGTGATTACAACTTTTCCATCAGGTTTTAAACACTTTTATCTCTTGTGAACTAAACTATAACCTACAAAGGTACACTTGGTTGCATGGAAATCAAACTTGTGTTTATTGAAACTCCTAAGATAAGGAAAACAAGAGCAGCCAAAGACTTTCAAACTTTCACAGACAGGGACCTGATTGAACAATGTTTGATAGGGAGAGATATTATGAAGTGTGACAGTAGGCATTCTATTTATTAGATAAACAATTATTTCAAAAGCAAGCCACCAATATGATAAAGGCATAGATGCATGAGCAAGCAATGTAAGTCCTAATTCTACAATATGTTTATGTTCTCTCTCACTCCTACCATTTTGTTGATGCACATAAGAACATGAGTATCTAACTTGAATGCCTTGCTCAACTAGATATGGAAGAAGGGCTTTGTATTCCCCACC